GCAAGGTCACAGCTCTGCATGGGAAGCTTCCATTTGATGATATAATTAATATGAGGAAATGTTAGCAGGCTAATTTTTTCTTTCCTTACTGGGGTGCAACTTTTCATACATGTCGGAGTAATACGGTCGATAGGTGAGTAGTATCAAATATTGATATCATCATCATCATCATCATCATCATCATCATCATCATCATCATCAAAGACAGCAACATCAGTGTTGACGGGCTTTAATAGGCAACCATTCGGCCTCCTCGACCATGAGGTGCGTTAGCCAGGTACTTATCCGAACCAGTGAATCCGGAGTGCCGGGTTTCAGCGTTGAGAAGTGTGGTCGGTCAATCAACGAAGCGACTTTAGAGTCAAACGCATCCACCAGCTTTTCTACTGAAGCGTAATGCCTAATTACAACGAGGCCAAGGTCGAGCACTCAATCAATGTTCTATGGATGTCTGAACATGTTGGGCTTGAATGATGACACGCGTTTCCGTCATGTACTACGTCGTCCTAAGTACTTTCTTTGCTAGTTCATTAAAACCATTCCATTGCAACCACACATTCAGGAGATGAATAGGAGCGGGCTGTATCCTGCACCCGTGATTACTTAGTAAGAATCCTGTTCACTCATAACACGATCATCTTAGGTTTGTCCCAGGGATTCATTTTGGCCATAGTCCAAAAGTGCTTGTGCGGTTTAGAATGTGCAGTGTAACTTCTTGGTGGCTCAAAGGACGCCACCTCATATATGCTACTAATTTGGAATAACATATATGCACTTATTTAGTTACTGATAAATTTGTATGCTTATTGTGAGGTTTGGAATGGTAGTATACACATAGGGCGACAGATCTGATTATAAACAGAATCAAGGTAGTCCGGAATTCCGATGGAATAGACGCCCAATCCATTCGCGTCCTCACCGATTATTTCTAGCGGCCTTGTGGTGGAATAACAGAACAGGAAAATAAGAAGTCTACCATAGCTGGAACTGGCTGGAACCGGGGTATTTGAGTGAAGTTATCAGAGAAGGCAGGGCTTTTGTCAAACACAAGGTAATTATATTCACAGTCACACCATTCTCGTTTGAACGGTCGTGTTGCTGTTCTGGAGTAATCATTCCGGTGAGTACACACCAAAGGGAAGCACTGGACTCGAGATAATCAACAGTGCATATCCAATGGCCGTGCCGGGATTTGAACCCCGGGTATCTGACATGCGAGGCGAGCGTGTAACCACTACTCCGCCAACGCACGTTGGACGCATCTGAATTATCACGTCTGAACAGGCTATCGTGTTCACACTTGAGCGATGTGATTGGTGTGCCCGACTTCACCAGTCAGGTAGCGTGGCACACGCTTGAAACCCACTGGGCAGCATTTGGTTGCAATTTTGGGGTTTTACGGGATAGATATTTTGTTCACACAATTCGATGGACCACTGGCCACGAATGCCAAGTTACCACCTACCAAGGAAGGACGTTCTCCACGAAAACTCTGGGTACAATTGATGTCGTTCGTCGAATAGGGCGGAGCCCACACGCGCTTGGTATTGCTTTTAAAGGCAGATCTTTCAAGACAAAGTATGAACCGAGGACAAAGAAGAGTCCCCAAGTGAATGTATTTGCACACATCATGTTTGATTTTATATCTTTTCACCAAGCTTTGAGCCCGATAGTAATTTGCAGTTAATAAGCGTTTATTCAGTAGCTTACAATAGCAGTCACGCCTCCACTTCCTAAAAGAACTGGTGAAGGCTATTGAGGTGGACGAAGAATACAACTCAGTAATAACTACCTTAATTCAATTGAAAGCCAGGAAAACACGGATTAAAAACCGTCACGATGAATGACAGTCAAAACCTAACTGGAAGTTCATCCATGAGTTGGGCCGAAACGGTTAGCTTGACAAACACGAACTGAAGCAAACGGAATGTTCATTTATTGTGAAGCTTCCCTTACGTGAAGTACTGGACAAGATAAATTTTCAGCCCCCCACGTACAGTTGCTATTAACTAGGGGTGACTCTGATACTATCCAGAATGCTTTTAATTCACACTACTTAAATGCATTTAATAGTGTAGAGTCAATTTCCAGCTGCATTGTCACCGACGCGCTGTGGATGCTCAAGGCGGTCACGTACCATTGGTTACTGTAATTGTCTGTAGCCTGAGCCGCAGAAGTTTTGACACGGTGCACGATAAGCAAAGTTCTAATTATTGCAGGACATACGCAGAAATATGACGAGCAAGACCGACGGTGTGAAACCGTACTACTTTCGTTTAATCGAAAGAGAGGACACATGTGACGGCGCGTTGCGATCAGTAACAGCTGATCATGCCGAACAGATACTGATGAGGGTATTATAAAGTTAACAGAACGAACAGCCATTAAATAAACAGCCAAAAGTTAACCTTGGTGATGTTTTTCACTAAGTCCCTGCGGTCCAGGATAACATAGAAGAATCCTGTGGAGGGACGACTGGTCTGGCAGTGCATAGCGGTGGAAACACCAAGAACCGGTTGATCCAACTGGAATTTGACCGTATAATTGTGCCAAAGTTCTCAATACTTTGACAGATCGTAGACTGTAAAGCTGGACATCCCAACGTAATGAGGCAAAAAATAGACTGCCAGGCGTTTTTATGATCGATGAACGACGAATTTGGTGAAATTTTCAAAGAGTATGGCAGAGTGGAGAAATCTGGGGAGTTACTGAGGATGTTCAAAAGCTGTTTACAAATCTTTAACTATCCACAATTATTCCCAATGCTCCACTTTTGTAGTAACGGTATTTTCCTCAGCTTAGTTCTCAGTCTGAGCCTCCCAAGCTAGCGTTCGCGTCAAAACAACCACCAAAGGTGCCCAAGATCTATTAATGCCCAAAACGAAGTCAAGAACAGTTGTACAGCGCCTCGCATATATAGCGTAAGCGGTTTTAACCTTCTGGAAGTTCTGACGCGTTCTGGATGCGGCATTGGCAACCGGCATTTGGCCAATACTGGGTCGTGATTGGCTGTTGGGTCCAGATTTCTGACCAATCAGATCTCGTCTTGATGCCGGACCGACAAGTGTCCCGAATTCTGGGCCAACCTCGTGCGGGCCAGGCTTATCGGCCGTAGCCGCGCCTAAAGACGTGCGGTATAGCGGGGTCCGTGTAAATTCCTGCCTAACAACTTTATCATGGACGCTTGTCAAACTAATAGAAGTTAACTTGTGGTCAAGCACATTTGACCATTTGACACATTTCATAACGTTGGGACAACATGACTACAAATCAGGTGTTCATGGAGTACAAAATTAGTGGCCATTCTAGGTCGATGGTCTTCGTTTCCAAATAGACGTTTACATCCTACTACAGTTTAAATAGCCACATCTGTTTGCTTCTTCATAAGTGTGTATATCAGGCTATCACATGAACTCTACTTCTAGTCGTTAGTTTGTTCGCTGAGCCGGGCAATTTGATTGCAAACGTTTCATCACCATTCGAGGTTACATCACTAGTGCGTTGTTAGAGCACGCAGTGGTACGTAGCGATGGATTGGTGATCGACCCTAACAACAGATTGATGATGTTGCTTCGACTGGTAATGAAACTTTGCAAACAAATTGTTCAGGTCAACGAACAAACCAACGACCACCTACGCTACCTTTGGTAATGAAACTTTGCAATCAAATTGCCCAGGTCAACGAACAAACCAACGACCACCTTCGCTACCTGAGCTAGTAAGGTTTTTCTCCATAGCAAGGTATTTTTACTGAGACTTCATCTTGGGTGTGTGTCCCCGACTTTAGACCGCGTCTGCGCCACACCAATATAGAGTGCCTGTCTCAATAAATCTATTGCTGTGGCAAAATGTGCGCCTCTTCAAATTTCTCCAAACTTGGAAGTCATAGAATAGCATTTTCACTGAACTTTTAAAATTCGTTGCCCCATCCTTCACTTTACCCGTGGCTTTTGGCGCTCAAAGCGCTCAAGTGACTCAGGTGGCCCAACAAAATGAGGACCACCACGGACCCAGAAAAAGTCACCTTGATCAAACGCCTCAATCCCTTAATCACCTGTCACTCTTAACCTACTTCTCATTCTACTCCTCTCCTTCCAACCCTCTTTCGTCTCCCCATCTTCTCCTGTTGCTCAATAGTTCATGCCTGTGACAGCGCACAGGCTAGAGTAACCTGGAGATGATTAATGTGTCATGCCTTAACGGTTTGCAGGAGAGAATCACGAGCTTTCCATGCCTTTAAGCTTTCACAACTATCTGTGACAGCGCATAGGCTAGAGTAACCTGGAGATGATTGGTGTGTCATACTTTAACGGTTTGCGGGAGAGAATCACCAGCTTTCCATGCCTTTAAGCTTTCACAACCCTTCACGTGCAGTGTACTGTTATTAAGGAATGAAAAATCTGTCCGATATTTGGGTGGAAAAACCTTGACGCGAAAAATTGCACGTTCTCTCCGATTTTGTGGAAGAGGACCCACATTAACTTGTGGCCATCTGGACGTCTATTACGTGCCCTGATATTGCTTGGTAATGCAGAAATCCAATGGAAGATATGAACCGTAAAGTACCTCACAAGTCAGCTTTATTTTGCCACACTCTGCTGTATTGTCCCGTCACGTGAATTGACTCAATGTGTGCGGAAATTTCGGAATTAAAAAGCGGCCGTTACTCCCCAATTCCGTCCCCAACTTCGCACACATTTACACGGTACTAGTTTGTGTTCTGAAATTTTACGGCCTACTGGAAGCTAGTTTTGGGCTGCCAGTCGCGTAACTCTGCTACATACCATTGATCCACATGGGAAAAATATTGCCGTTTGAATCGGCCTGTCACGTGGTCTTCCGAAGCACACTGAACACGGCGGTTTTAACCCGTTCCAATTAGTTCCAGTTTAGATAGTTTACTGTAAATGATTGCATCATGGAAATACGGAGAGAGATATCTTGAAGGAAGTCCGATAACGTCCAAATTACTTTTTTTCAAAAAATGACTGTTACTTAATATGGACTCCCGTGCCCGAGCTGCGTCTGCAAATCTGTGTCATTCCAATGGAGATGGTACCGCGCGTTCGTCACGTTCTCAGAGAAAGCCAGTAAGTTATGAGAACCTATTAGGCGTACATCTAGACACCATGGTAGGCAAGGTTTAAAGCTATCTCAAACTGTCTGAAGAAGCCTTTTTCAGCGTTGTATCTACAGATAGCCAATGTATAAGAGATCTGCGAGTAGGAGTAAACTATAAAACGGGCACTGCCTCAATGGTCACCTTGTTACCAAGTATTTCTCTTTTATACATACAAGAGGATACTGTCTCTCTAGGAGGAGAATTCGGCAATTATGGATGTCAGCGTTTTTCAGCAGGGAACATTAAGTGAATAATTACTCGAGTTACCTTCAGTATTTTGCTGTGTACCAATTGTAAAATAGCTTGCCGAAGAGCGCAACTGCCTGATTAAAGTATAGCTTCTTTTTTGCTGTAAACATTAGGAAGTCTTTAGGGGTTATTACGGAACTTTTATAACCGAAGCTTTCTCAGCCCCGTGGGAAGAAGTTTCCGCCAGGATTTCCAGTCGAAAGTCCACCTCTTCTGGCCCACCTCAGCCGCCTTTCAGTCCTATTTAGCAAATTCAGTTTTTGACATTGGCATTTGTCGACAGGAATGCCCTTATCCGTAATACACTACTCACAGGGTTGCTCGGAATTCTTCTACAGCCCACGACCGGTTTCACCCTTCTTGGGGCACATCAGGTAGGCACAGTCCCCGAATTTCCCTCAACCTTGTGTTCTACTTGAAATCAAATTGCACGAAAATAGCGAAATACACTCACTTGCAAACAAATTTGTTTTTTCGAGAGACTCACCTGGAACTCAGCCAAATCGATCGTTTGTGATGTTTCCAGGCCACTAGGAACGCCCTTATGTTCTGTGACTTAAGTATCATAATCGATTGTGTGGTTGCACAGAAGGGGCGAAAAACGACGTGGGCTTGAATCGGAGTCGATAAAATTTGCCCGCTTTATACGGTCATCTCAGTAGATAAATTTTCCGAAAAACGATTACGTACGTACTTGTAGTTGGCCAACTGCATCGATAAACGGATTATACCGTTTGAAGAGGGCTTGTTAGCCGACTTGTTCAGCCATAGCGCAATTTCATCCTCAGTGAGCAATACTCATAGCAGAGAAGGCTGTCCGTGTTGCCTGAGCGATGTTCGAGCGAAGCAGCGAGTGAGCACCATGCACTGTCGATGGACAACACAATTGTTCCCTGTAAACTTGCGACTGTTGGGATAAAAAAGCCGAACGAAAGTTTATGGAACATTTCTCATCCAAAACTTTTCACTCCCTAAATTCTAACCACCGAAAACAAAAGATAAATGTTTCGCCCCGGAATACCAGTCTAGATTCATTGGAACACCACACTGCTTCGTGGAACTTGTCAAAAAGAGTTTGGCTCTGGGCGAATGCTTCTGAGCAACCCGTGGTGTTAGAATCCAGATGAACAGAAAATCTTCCGAAAAGTGTTTGATCTTTCCGAATTCCGATCTATTTGCAACTGAGATAATCCGAAATGATTGGAAAAGTTAAGGACAGCCATATTATTTTACTGAGTTCATCTCCGAAAAACTGGGTTGCGTTGCCTTATTTAGGCTTATATTGAATTATGTTCTGACTTTCGCTTGCACGTATTTGTACTCGAGAGCCAGTCTTTGAAGTTGTAGGGTTGGTGCCTCGGTGAACGTGATAAAATTATTAGAAAAACGGCTGTTGCATTCGATTAAGTTACTGAGTCGCCAACAAACAGGTGTAATCCCAATCGCACACAACAGTACGTTTTTTTCCAGCTTTCACTAAAACCTGGGAAAATCACTTCAAGACTTAGCTATTCAAAAGATCTGGGTAGCAGCGGATTATTAAAAAGGTTAAAGTGCCCTTTCTTTTAGATCTGGATAGGTTTTGAAAGTCCTGCTCACCGACGCATCTCATCACCATCATGATTATCATCATCACCATGCTAGCAAGCAAACTAAATTCAAGGTCACAATTCTCGTTGCGTAATATATCCAGGTGTTGCAACGAGATAGCCGAGTGCATCGAACAAGCAAACCATCTTGTGGTCCAGAATCTTTTGAACACTTGGGCTGTCACCGCAAACTCACCAATCAAAAGTGGGTGGGGGTCAAGCAACTTTATGTCAATAAAATATGCTTGTCTTATGTTACAGACCTAGGGAGTGGTAACCTAAACTGATCTGAGTTGAGTGTGTTTGCTTGTATGAACATAAGCATTTGCTTTTTCTCACTACCCAGCACACACTTGTTATTCAGCACTTTCGAAAACGCATCTTCTAGGATTAAGGTGCGACCAGGCCACAAGGTAATCACTGATGGCATTAGGACAGCCCAACATTCCCATGCAACCGGAGTGCGTGTGGACGTACACAGCTCACTTGGCCATTTAGCTCAGGTTAAGCTTTCCAAATACCACAACAGACCAGATAAATGTTTTCGTTGCGAACAAAACTACCGTAACTGAGGTTTGGCTACCATCGTATTGTCAGGAATTTGGGCGAAAGTAAAAAACCCAGTTTGTTCCATCTCAAGACGGCAAAACTGAAGATGAGTCTTACTTCGTACACTGACTGCATAGAGGGCGGATCTGGTATGCCAAATCAACGGAATCAAGTAGTTTCCAAAAGTCAGTCGTCTCTTCATCATGCTTGTTTGGTTTTCTCAAAAACCCTGATCTAGGAACCTTTGCAACTCCATGGGGAAGCTGGAAAATTGGGGTACAACATCTTGTCGGTACCCCCATTCAAAAGTACCGACATGAAATAGCCTCACTAGAAGAAGCGATTTTTCTAACCTAGATATTCTTCCTGCAAGTGACTGAGTAAAATCCTTCCCAAATGCGATATTAGACATTTTAAAGTAACATTCATCTGTGAAAATCAATGCTTCTAATCATTTTTAATATGGTCACATTTGGTCATTCTGGTAGCCGCGCACAGAAGGCAATAGCTTTGATGCACGAGCGCCACTGACTGCGCGATTGGGCCGTTTCTGCCAACGTCATTAACCACTGGTGATTTGGGTCCCGGGGTCCCCATCCGGGGAGGCGGCAGGTGCCCACCCGACTAAGTTTACTGGTTAGTGTTTTCGTACTTCGTTGCTAGATTATAGATGGTCCACTTCTCGGTCTCTTTCACTCAGCACAGGGCTGGAAAAAAGAGTTGTGTAAGGTCTTCTTGCACGTATAGTGCATTACCAAACGGCCCAACCTATGAAGCATGAGTAATTCATCTGTCACCGTAGAGCTCCTTCTTCCTAAGATCACCTGGAGTACCTCAGCATTACTAATCCGACGTTCTACTTAATTAAGTTGTCTGTGGTTCCAAAACGCAATAGGCTAGAAGAAAAAGTGACTATACTTGAAAGCCAATAATCTGACAAAGTTGAGTGTCACACTGTTATTGCCTGAAATTGACAAAAACTTTTTACAGCCTGACAGCAAATAAAGTACTTATGTCGAAGACACGGCATTCACGCCACGACAATGCGAACATCAATGCACAGAAGAAGGCTAACGAAACACTATGAAGTCAGCGAATATACACTCATTTGCGAACTAACTTGGTTGTTTGAGAGACTCATCTGGAACCCAGCTGAACTTCTCGGTTTTGATGTTTCCAGGCAATGGCTGTCGAGGAGTTTTCAGCAGCCTTATGAGTAGTGCTTTACAAAATATATTATGAAGTCAGATTTTCAACAAAGGACCGGGATCGCCAAAAATACGGACTTGGCGTTTCTTGCCGAATGCGCAAACCAACAACAGTCATGACAGACTGAAACTAGTGTTGACGACAATCGCAACAGCCCCGAAATCATGCTGAGACCAGAGACCAGTTGAATCTAAGCAAAGAACTAAAGGTAAAACAGACGAGAAGCTATAAGAAGATAAGCAGTCACATGCGCAGAGCTTCATCCTTATCGACGAACAGTGATCAATGGCAACGTATGGTGGATGGTCAAAGTCTGTTAAAGAAACTTGGCGAAATTGTTTATGGAAGGCAAACTGGGTATGCAGGTAGTTTTCTCCTTCCGATTGAATGACCACCGGAATCGAAAGCCGATTGTGCTCAAGCAGGTGAATCGGTCAGCTACTGAGCGGGTGCAAGTGGTTCAGCGAATCGGTCGTATACATTAAGATTTTCTACGAACATAATAACCGTCTCGACAGTCGCATTAAAATGGTGACGGCTGTCAGTGTGCCTGGGCTAATGAATCAGGTTAGAGAGAGAACTTGCGGATTTTTGGTTAATTACAAGATTCAGTCTCATATTCTGAAAGCTCATACTATTATGAGTGTACCGGGGTGTGTTGGGATGAATAAAGCTACGACCTCAAGAAACTTCTAGATACTTGTCGAATCTNAATAACATTTACCCGGACAGGACACGCTTTATACGACCATCCTAGTAGATAAATTTTCTAAAAAACGATTACATACGTACTTGTAGTTGGCAAACGACATCGATAAACGGATTACACCGTTGGAAAAAGGTTTGTAAGCCGACTTGTTCAGCCAGAGCGCAATTCCATCCTCAGTGAGCAGTGCCCGTGGCATGAAAAACTGTCCGTGTTGTTTGAGCGATATTTGAGCGAAGCAGCGAGTGAACGCCATGCACTGCCGATGTAGAGTTTGTGCCTCGGTGAACTTGATAAAACTGGTAGGGTTGTTGCATTTGATCCACTTACTGAGTCGCCAATGGCACGCCATGGCACACACAAACGATTTTCTCAGCGTTTCCACTAAAACCTGAGAACATCATTTCAAGATTAGCTATTCAAAATATATGGGTAGTAGTGGATTATTAAAAAGATTTGGATAAGTTTGGAAAGCCTTACACACCGACGCATCTCATCATAATCATCATCATCATCATCATCATCATGCTAGCAAGCAAACTGAATTCAAGGTCACAATTCTCGTTGCGCAATATATCCAGGTGTTGCAACGACATAGCCGAGCACAGCGAACAAGCGGACCATTTTGTGGTCCAGAATCTTTAGAACACTTGGTCTGTCGCCGAA